GAGACTTGTAAAATATTTATTTTCTTTAAAATTCGAAGAAATTTTAATTTGTTGTGCTCCACTTAATGGTCCAATGCACTCGATTCAACCATCTCCGACTATAAAAATAATTTTATCTTAAAATTGATTTGGAATAAGAAAATAAAGCCGGCCATTCATTATTACGAAAACCAAATGATATTTTTGTAATATTATTTTTATAATTAATAATTAAAATTACAGTTACATTTTTTTCCCATAGCAACTGTTAAAATTGCCTTATATCTATCAAAAATAGTAGATAAAATAGTACTTTAACCGCAAGAGTAGATATTAAATGATACTTTAACAGCGAGGATAGGTTAAACACTTTATTTCTTCTCGCACGTTTTTTAATTGCCTCCATTTTTGAAAATTTTTGTATTCCTCTTCATAAGTTATTCGGGATTTAAATGGAAGTAGTTTGGATATGGCGTTTGTCGCCTCAGCGGCCTCAGCCTTGAATATCTGTTGGTAATTTACTTATTTCGTTTTGAGTCATTTCTGGCTCCAATTCAATCAGCAATCGACACGAAAGAGAATTAAAAAATATTAACTCAAAACTGACAACTAAACAGACAGCTTTATTTATTTGTCAAATTACATAGAAACCAACGCCAACCCAGCACGGTATTTTTTCTACTCGAAATAAAATCCTTGATATAATAATTTCCGAATATTTTTTAAAACGTAACTCGCTATGGAAAAAAATATTGTTTTATACACGACGATAAAATTGCATTATCGTCTACTGAAATTAATTCACTCGCGATTTCACCGCTCATGAATTAATCTTTTCGATCGACCATAAAATACTATTTTATCGTCTTGTATAAAAAATAACTATTATTGCTATGTTTTCAATATTACCTACTTATATATCTGACGAGGTTTACCCCCGTGGGCAGTTTCCAGTGACGACACCTACAATTACACGCACCAGATTCTTTTTGTGCTCTAGTAGTTGTTTTGTCTTTTTGCTATCTACCACTGGCCATAGTCTTCGAGCTGTAGCACAGTCTTCATGGTGTTGGCACGTTTCTTGCTGCTTGGCCTTGATGGTAGTTCCTATAGCTTCCTTCAGTGTGTTGATCGTCAGAAGTGATGAGTCGTCTGCCACGGCCTCTCTCCTGGCCCCCTCGTTGGCGGATGTGTCCGCTTCTTGATTGCCCACCACATTGATGTGGCCTGGCACCCAGCACAGAGTGGCCTCGCATGCCAGGACAGTGCTTCTCGGCAGTCCAACACAGTTTTCGATCTCACTGATTGCATGGTGATGCTTCTTAAAACGTCCAAGCTGTCAGAGTATATAAAGATATCTCCTATTCATCTATCAGCAATTTTCTCTCGTATACAACTAGCCGCTTCCTTTATAGCGTAAACCTCTGCTTCTAGAACATTACAGCCATCTGATACCCTTAAAGATCGTCGGATGTCTAGTTCCTCTCAGAAAATGCCTATACCTGTGCCTCCTGAAGTTGCGGAAGATCTATGTAGACTGCTATCTCTTGAGTGTTCATTACTCAGTTGCTTTATTCCCATTCTTCTCTTGTCGGGATGCGAATCCTTATCTTTTCTCTAAGATCATGTTTGGTGAGCATATAGTCCGTTTTCTGGTCTAGTAGATGTGGACAAGTGTTCGCCATGATTTTCCCTATCACTGGCAATATCCTCGAGTGACCGTAGTTGGTCTGGTTTCACAGATTGGATTCCCTTAATCTTAGGGCACCCTTAGCGGCCAGATCCTTCACGAGCCAGTCGATTGATTGCAAGTCCAGAATTGCTTCAAGCGCAGCTGGCGCTGTTTTGTTCCTTGCTCCAGTTGTACCTAGAGCTGCTAATCGCTGTACTTAAGTTTTTTTCTATTGGTCTGTTTATGTACCGCTTTCCACGATATTAGTGCTCCATAAGTGATGATTGGTCTAACTATAGCAGTGTACATCCAGTGTATAATGTACGGTTGCAGATCCCATCTCCTTCCAAAATAGTTTCTTACATGCATAGAATGCATTTATTCTCTTTATCATCCTTTCCTCCAAGTTCCTTTTCCAGGAAAGCTTCGAGTCCAGAATGATTCCTGAATATTTTGTTTCCTTAACAAGTACACGTGCCTTCCCTCCAGCTTTGGTAGTTGGGCGAGTCTTAAATAAATGCAAATATTTTTAGGAGTAGCATATTTCGACTCAAACACGTCTATGAGGTTTTTTGTCGAGAAAAAAAATTGAAAATTTGGAATCTTTTGAAAACAAATTTGAATTTTTTTTTTAGATTTTAGTTTAAAAGATAATTTCTTGATAATATGTCAACAGGTAGTAGATTAAATTTACAAGAAAGAAAACTCAGAAAAAAATTTAAGCAATAAATTATTTTTTTTAATTTTTAAAGTAAAATAACCGGATTATTTTAAATTTATCTGAAAAACGGTAGAGAGAAAATATGTTTCTTTTGTCGAGATGTACCAGCCCTAAAAATATTTGAACTTATTTAAGACTCACCCTGTATAAGTCTCGATATTTACTCGCTTCTTCTCGTTCTTTGCCACGGAGCATTCCCCAAAAGTAATTCTCGACACTAGCGGATAATGGATTTATTCTAAGCGGTTTTGATGGATCGAAGATGGAGTAATGGAAAAAGTAGAGGAATTTTTTCAATTTTTTTTACCTCAAAAACTGCGACTTTGACTGATTTTGATGTTATTACAAATTTTGTTACAAATATTATTCCTAATCATAAATTGAAAACCGCGTTTCGCTAGCTACTGTAATTTTGGAGTTACGATTTTTGAAATTTTTAACCCCCTCCCACACCCCCTTACCAACCCCCCATCCCCACCAAAAACTAATGGCCAGGTTCTCGGGTGCCACAGTATTTTTGTGCCAAATTTGATTAAAATCGGTTTAGCGGTTTTTGAGTTATCGTGTTACAGACAGACGGACAAACAGACAGACACCATGAAAATATTTTGTATTTAGGTCATTTATGACCCATTTTAACTCATTTTGAGTGAAATTAAAAAAAACATTTTTTTTGCCGACCTTAATAGCCTACCATACCTGTTGGTATGGTCGGCTAAAAATATTAGAGTATTACAAAAAAAGGTTGAAACCAAATAACTCCACCGGAGCCGGAAAATCCGATTTCCGGAATCTACCTGAGTAGACTGCAAACTCTATCCGCTAAAATTCTCGAGTATTTTACTAGAACTCTATCGGCGACACGGTCGTGACAAATGTTGCTTTGGTAAAGACCCGCGGCCATATAGAGCAACCGCCACTGCTAGCAGCCGACAATATGCGCGAATAAATAGTGCATTAGGGCCTTTATCATGATAAGTGGAGCGTTTTTTTAAAGATCTTCTAGTGCCCGAAAACAGACAAAGGGGCTCTGCGTTGCCGAGCGGGGCACAATGCCCACTCGAGATGCGCGCAGCCCTAGGTAGCACCACTTGAACCGGGGGCGCTGCCATGCCTATCGCACCGCGTACTGGTAGCAGTAGGCAGGGGTCACGTCATGGTTTTCGCTTTGTCTCCCCGCGGGTCTTTGTCTAATGGAAGCGCGTTCTTCTGGAAGTTCTTGAGAAATAAAATTTTTTGACGAACAAGGAACGGGAGAAAAAAACGGGTAGTTGACATTTGGTATTGTCGTCGGGTTGTTTTGCCCTTAATCGACTTCATCTTAACATTTTTTTAACCGTTGAATTCGACATCTTAATATTTGAGCGTAAATAAGAGCATTGAAGGAGTGTATAAAAAATGCATTTTTTTTCTAGCCAGTTGTTTAAAGATAAATAAATTAATGGTTTCAATTAGCGTACAAGTTTGTTCCTTTAATTTCAAAGTAAGCATTCAGAACGTCAAAATTAGTGGTAGACATTTTCAATTAGTAGAAAAACTTATCAAACTTTTAACTTTTCCACTAATTATACTTCAAAATTTGCGAGAAATGTCATTTTGGACTTTGATTACCTTCCGCCAAGAAAAATTGTGGTTAGAAATCAAAAGTTGATTGTTTTATAAGCTAAATGTTAGGCTTTCTCTGTGGATATAACCTTATATAACTAACTAACACAAGCTGTTGCTAGGATATTCTAATAATTTTAATTGTATTTTTTAAACATTGTGAATGATCGTAAACTAAAAAGTATAAAGTGTAATTGAAACTACTAGTTTATTCCACTAATTGTGCACATTGTCTTCCCACATATACCCATAAAATATTTTGTTTCTACATCTTTCCGTTTTCGTATAATCAACCATACCAACATAATAATCGTATTAATATTATTCTATTTCTAATAATATTATTCTATAATATCGTATAAATATTAATAATTTCGTATAATCGACCATACCAACAGGTATGGTAGGCTATTAAGATCAGCAAAAAAACAGTTTTTTTAATTTCACTCAAAATGAGTTATTTGGGTCCTAAATACAAAATATTTTCATGGTGTCTGTCTGTAACATGATAACTCAAAAACCGCTAAACCGATTTTAACCAAATTCGGCACAAAAATACTGTGGCATCCGAGAATCTGGCCATTGGTTTTTGGTAGTGGTGGGGGGTAAGGGGGTATGAGAGGGGGTTAAACATTTTAAAAAATCGTCACTCCAAAATTACAGTAGCTAGCGAAACGCGGTTTTCAATTTAACATTAGGAATAATATTTGCAACAAAATTTCTAATAACATCAAAATCAAAGTCGCAGTTTTTGAGATAAAAAAAAATTGGAAAAATTCCTTTACTTTGAAACTAAAAGAACTGCCTACCAACTTTTAATTAACATATTTTAGTATGGGCGGCTATACGTGCCTCCCGGCGCTAATTTTTTTATAAAGGATGCACTTTTCTAAAAAATGTCAATAATAAAAACATTTTTCCTCTTGTGAAGACAATCCGGGGACATACTGTAGACTGTAAATAGTAAAATTAACAGTAAAAAATTAACAACACTGCATTTTTAAAATTTTCTTTATTTTTGTATATAAGGATATATGCTGTTATGTGAATAACATTTGATTACTTTAATACCTTCTCTCAAAAAATAAAATACTAAAAAACTTACAGAAACATCAATGACGATATCCACGCTGTAAGTAAATATTCAATGAAATAAATAAAATATGTTTATGAATTTTAAGTCACACTTTATAATAAAAACATCTTTCAAACCAAATTAAAACTATTTACATACGCATTTCTCTCAATCATTGTATTTTTCATGTATCATACTGCACTCTATATTCAAAGTACATTACTTATCTTCTATAACTGTATCTGTTGGTGTTTGGATTGTTGGACGGAACAAATCTGTCGCGATAAGGACCTGGTCTCCTGTTATCATCCGACTCGTTAGGTCTGCTGTAACCCTGTCGGTTGTTGTGGCCCTGGTGCCCTTGACTGTAACCACCCGACTGTTGATTGTAGCCTCTGTCCTGGTAGCCTGGCCTATGATTGTAGTGTTGGCTTTGATAACTAGACTGACCGTAACTTGAACTACCCTGATTGTAGCTGCGGTTACCTGAAATTAAAACAGAAACATAATATATTAAAAAACTAAAATTTATGCTTCATGGATGATCCAATTAAAAATTAAAGAGTGTTTTTTATTCCTAAGATCTTATCAAACAACAATAGAAAATCAACTAACTTTATAAAACAAAATTATTTTCAGATAGTCTAGAATAATCGTAAAATGATAAACCATAAAATATACGAAAAATCATGTACAGGGTGGGTCAAATCGGTCGCTTTTAAAGGGAAATACACTTTTCTATAGGATATAGACGAAAACTAATATTGGTCTCTGGAGCTCAATTTTTATCAAAAACATATGGTGAAGACCATGCAGGTGATAGTGAAAATTATGTATTTTTATGAAAATGTAAGCTAGTTTTTTTAAGTAATGTTTTCCAAACGTTTTTTTACGTAGAATGTAATAACTTCAGTATATTTTATTTAAATTAATAATTTAAAAGTTATCAACAGAAAAAATAATTTTTTATTTGGGACAACCTGTATATTTTTAATGAACTAAAAGAACTTAAAATTACCTTTCCAAAAATATAACACATTTGATATTTTGTTATAGTCCCCTTCGAAATACAGAATTTTTAAAAGTTCGCCATTTTTAACTAGTAGGCTTTGGACCCCTTATTGATGATCTGCCCCTAATGGAACTCGAAAACACATTTTTCCAGCAAGAACACTGAAGTTTTTGCAGCCAATTTCAAGAATAACTGAATAGCTAACCAAGATTTCAGCCGTCGCGTCGTGGCCACCGGACTTAGTGCTTATGGATTTTTATCTTTGAGGAAGAATAAAAGTTCTTATTTTTAAATTGCCCGTGTAATCTAGACCAGAATTAGAAGTACTTAGCGGTTATGCGAGGGTATCTTTCACCCCCACTGAGTTAATAAATTCCGCGAGAAATGTTCAAAAACGGTCCCGTCTGTCCATAACAGAAGACTATATGAAGTCGATATGTCAAACATCTGTAACAAAATATCATGCCTTGGTTTGCTATTTATTTTTATTGTTATTGGATATAATTTAAATGTGTTGATGTTGTTAAATATAGCTTAAATTGTTATAAAATTCTGCATCTCTCATTGCCAATATTATTTTCGTTTTAATTGCTGCTCACAGCTAGAATTTTTTTGTATTACAACCGGCGCCGTTCAAAACCTACTTATTCAAAGTGGTCGAATTTTTATAAACTCTCTATCTCGAAGAGGAATCGAGCAAAGCAATCAAGTGTGCTATATTTTTGGAAAGGTAATTTTAAATTATTTTTAATGAATTAAAAATATACAGGGTGTCCTATATAAAAAATCAAATTTTGTGTTGATAATTTTTAAATTATTAATTTTAAAAAATTATACTTAAACCATTAAATTCTACGTAAAAAAGTGCTGTGAACTGAACTTTGTGAAAATGTTTTCATAAAAATACAAAAAAATTCTGATTTTTTTTTAAATTTGATTCAAAATTTGATTTTTGAGTCAAAAATATTAAGAATTCCATAAATAAAAGTTATATGACAATGATATCACAAAATTTAATATTTACAGAAAATATAAAAGGATACTAATCATAAGTTACTAGATACCCTATATCATCATTACTAGATACCGATAATCACAGGATACTATGAAAAGTATCTTATATCATTATATCTCAATGATCTAAAATTTACCTCTAAATTCATAGAACAGATTTTTTGCCGTACAACGATTAAAACGTCGTAAAAGTGGTAGAGTTTTGGATTTTTTTGGGACAAAATAACTAATTATGGACTTTTCTTGACTGAACTGATCAAACCGAACTCCCAAACTAACTGAATTGCTGTAAATGGCAGGGCCGCTAGGGTAAATTAGACTCCTGCGGACACTCGTGCGAAAAATTGGCTTCCTCCAGGCTAAAAGGGACGGACAACGGTTCAAACTGATTCGCCCATGTGAATAATTTGATCGGTTTAGCACATCTAATGCACTACGCACGCAATCCGGTAAATAAAGGAAGCATCTCGGCAAACAGGGATAACAGCATTATTTGAACGCGTTTAAAGTTTCGATGTTTTTTTATAGAAGTTTATTTTTAGCTGAAGAGTGGGTAGAATAAATTTTTACAAACGTCAGTAAAAATATTTTAACGCATAATTTTAGTATCTATGACATAATTTTTTTTATATGTAAGAAAAGTGTATTGATGACAATTTTTTTCAGTTTCAGAAATCTTTCACACAGGCTCTTTTTCACAGTTTTTTCGAAATCTGATAAACTATACACATATTGAACAATTTATAAAACAGTTATCGTACAATTACAAATTATGAAATCAACACTGGATGTTGACAGCTACAAATAAGTTCTAAGGCTATGGTCCTAAGGTAACTTAAGATATCTATTAATTATCATGTAAATACTACACAGTGTCGCAAGTGAGCTACAAACGGGATTTTTTATTATACAATTAGGTTTTGATGTTACTTATTGCTTTGAAATAGAATAAAATGATGAATAAAGCTTCATTCAGAAGCTCGCTATTAGTGGAATAAATTACTGGTTTCCATTACACTTTATACTTTTTAGTTTACGATCATTCATAATGTTTAAAAAACACAATAAAAATTAATGCTTATCCTAGCAACAGCTTGCAGTAGTCAGTTGCATCCATAGCGAATAGTTTTTAAGATCATTCACAATGTCTAAACAACATAATTAAAATAAATAGAATATCCTAGCCACAGCTTTTGATTTCTAACAACAATTTGTCTTAACGGATGATAATCAAAGGCCAAAATGACATTCCTCGCAAATTTTGAACTAAATTAGTGGAAAAGTTAAAAGTTTGTTAACTTTTTCTGCTAATTGAAAATGACTACCACTAATTTTGACGTTCTGATTGCTGTAAGCGATTCTGAGAGGTTCTGAAAGAAGCTTTAAGCTTCATTCAGAACCTCGCAATTAGTGAAATAAATTAGTGGTTTCAAGTAGCGTAGAAGTTTGTTCTTCTAATTTCCATGTAAGCATTCAGAACGTCAGAATTAGTGATAGACATTTTCAATTAGTAGAAAAAGTTATCGAACTTTTTAACTTTTCCACTAATTATACTTCAAAATTTGCAAGAAATGTTATTTTGGCCTTTGATTATGGCGGCCAAGAGAAATTGTGGTTAGAAATGTCGATCAAAAGTCGATTGTTTTATAAGCTAAATATTAGGCTCTCTATGGATACAACTGGCTACCACAAGCTGTTGCTAGGATATTCTATTAATTTTAATTGTGTTTTTTAAACATTGTGAATGATCGTAAACTAAAAAGTATAAAGTGTAACTGAAACCACTAATTTCTTCCACTAATTGCGAGATTCTGACTGAAGAATCTAATGACTCTACTAATTGAAAATGACTACCACTAATTTTGACGTTCTCAGTGCTTACAATGAAATTAAAGGAACAAACTTCTGCGCTAATTGAAACCACTAATTTATTCCATTAATTTTGACGTTCTGAATGAAGCTTAACGACATAATGAAATTTAACCTATTGTGTTCTCGGGTAGATCTCAAATTTGACATTTAAAGTAATAAATGCTAAATGGGTTTATTAGAGATTTTCAAAAAACCTTGTTTGAAAACGTTGTTTATTTGTATAATTTTACATAAGTACACTAATTTCCAGTCATCTAATTTAAATCCATCTAAATTTATGTAAAATTTTTAATATATTTTCCATACTTATTTCCACAGTACTGAGTACTGAGTCAGTACTGAATCAAAATTTTATAACCTACTTATTTTACTATATGTATAATAATTATTGTTTGTTTAGGCATAGCCCTTATACAGTTTCTGGTTAAATTAAAAAGAATGTATTATAAAAAAACGGTTTAAACTTATTAACAAAGTTAAGTTGAGTAATTAGAGAAAAAAATTGTATAGGAATGGTGTCATTCGATTCGATCCTCGATGAATGGAACAATTCACTATAGATTGAATCACTCAGTTGGACGCCTATATTATGCTCGTCCTAAAGTCTTAAACACAGTTATACAGGTCCTAAAGTCTTAAAATAGTCATAACATTCAAAAGGCGTTTCTATGGTGATATAATTTTGATATCATTTTTTGATAGATGGTTATTATTAATTTTGATTAACGTCATATTTTTTGCTGTTGTTAAAATAACACATTTTCCTATAACTATTATCACCCTTTCCGTAGCATTGAACTAAATAAATTTTCTGATTCTTTGACGTTTTAAAACAGCAAAAAATATGACGCTAATTAAAATTTTATCAATAACAATCTATCAAAAGATGAAAACGAGATTATATTACCATAGAAACGCTTTTTGATTTTTAGGACTTCAAAAATCATGCATATTTTCATGTTTTTTTTTAATTTCCTTTTTTAATAATGAAATTTGAAAAAGTATATACGGGATTGTAAAACAAGACAATCCGGGGACATACTGTATAGCGTAAAATATCTTGCGTATCAATTCATCAAATTATTCATATTTAATATGTGACAATGATTTCTTTAATCGGCATATAGTCGAAATATAAGAGAAAGTTGTCGTGAACCGAAATGATGTTTGTTTTAATAAAGCAGAAAGGTCGCGTGACCAATTTCTGGCACGTGCCCTTCGCAATTAAATCCGTTTTAAATTCGATATTTATAGAGTCTTGAGCGAGGGTGGAAGTCAAAGAGAGGCCAGCCGCCATTGTGAGTGTTTGTTTTGATACTGGTAGCTAATAATTAAGGAGAAAAACATTAATATTCCGGCGTACGGTAGTCCGTTTTAAATACTCGGAGGATAAATATATGTTCAACAACAATTAATCGATAAAATTGTGAAAAAATGGTTGTAGTAAATTTAGGTACTTAACTTATGACTTACAATATACAGTGGTAACTAGGGTTCAATGCCGGTTGTTTTAAGACATCAAAGAAACTCGAGATTATTGATTTCCGGTTCTTTCGGTACTTTCGGGACTAGGTAACAAAAATTAAAA